GGCCACGGTGAAGAGTCACGTCCACTCTCAAAGGGGGTCTGTCGTAAAACCATGTGTTTGAAAGTAACTGTCAGTCTTTTAATCTCCCATATATTTTAGGAAGAAAAAAGTTAACTATGTATAATAGTTATTAATTTATTGCCATCCGGCCATTTTAGACGCTTAATGTCAATAAAAAGATTTCCCTTCTGGCTGGAGTGAATGATTCTGATTCTCAAGGGGGCAAACAGATCACTTCTATACATACAGGAAAGGAAAATTATGTTTGGAAGCCAGGGACCCTCTGGAGTACCCCCTACTGTTTCCATAGTAAAGGTTAATAGAAAATATCAACCAAAAAAAGGCAGGGCAGGTGGGGACTCAAACCTTTTGGGAATGAAGCTTTGAGCCACTCCATCAGGTGAAAAACCTTGAGTAACTGAGTTTACGACTCAGGACAAGGGAAACGCAGACTGGGGAGTGAAAAGGGAAGCACAGAAATTCTACAGAGAGCTTTGTGACCAGTTGCAAGGAGGAGGTGTGTAGTAGTTTTTAATATTTTTCTCTTTGCTTCTTATATGCATGTGTTTATTTTTGTTTACTGTTTTCTTTTCCTATTTCTTTCCATTCTTATTTTATTTTAAATACAAGTTGGAAGTTAACTTTAGTATCCAGGAAACAGCACATTCAGTAGAACTGTGATTAAATTTGGAAAAAAAAGTAATATAATTAGCAGCGGTTACCATGGCTGTATTTTTATTTTGGGATAAGAGTTTTACTCTTATACACCGTCACCTGTAAAATGGACAGCCATACGTATCAGGTGGAAGTGCAGAGCTGTTCTTTGATGTATAGGACTCCAACGGCTGTGGGAGAATGAGTATGGTGCCAGAGTAACCAAAGTAGTGGGCTGCAACAGTTATCAATTTATTGCCTCCTAGCTTTAAAACTATCCTTTACTGCCCCTACAAAAATGGATAAGGCCCTTTGAATATTTTTTCTTCGCCAGCTGGCTGAATGTCAAGCGTGCTTAGCAGAGAGTGCTGTAAAGATGCACAGAAGGAAGTGCTTTCCAACTCGGTCCCGGTACACCAGCTCTGCTAACCCCTGCAATGCACGTGGCTGCTGCAGTGCGGGTACGAGGTAACGGCCCCTCTAGTACCTGCTGCCACAACACCTGGAGCTTTTCCAGCGCCCTGTTTCTGCAGCCAAAGGGGCTTCTACGGCACCAAGCTGTTGCAGCACCAGTGTGGCTACCACCCACACCCTGCGGTACACTATGGCTAACAACGAGCAGCAGCCAACAGCTTCCCTTTGTGTGCAGCAGAATACCTCTGGGGAGACATTTCTCCACGAACAGCTTTCTCCTGAGTCCTGTAGGACTGAATTCTAGCAATTCTAGGTGGCACAGTTCCACCAAGTTCTTCTACAGCAGTATCGCAGCAGCCCCTCTGTCACTCAGTGAGCCAGTGCTGTGCTTTCTCCAAGATCTGGACCACACCCCTCTGGACTTCCTCAGTGGACACTTGTGTAAATCCTGGCATAGCGGCTATTCTTTACATCTGCTATTCGTACAAGCTATAGAACTCCGTCTATCTTAATGATCAGTCCCTCATCACCCTGATCTCCTGTTATATTTAATACTGTCATTGCTTTTAGTAAACTTTTTCTTTTCAATTTACTATGTGTTTCAGTAGCTCCCAGATCTTGGTTTCTAAATAACATTCTCCAAAAGATGGCCCCTTTGAGAAAAGAGCCATTCAAAGGCTAAAGCAAGAAAACTCCAAGATGGGTATCTGATAATCCCAGAAAGCATGGAAGTACTCAAAATGCAAAGGGTGGAGCACCACAAAAGGACAGAATGGTCAAAGCTAGAACAATTTAAGCAACAAAATAAACAAATATTGTCCTATAGCCAAAAAAATTCAAATAAATACATATGAATTAAACTGACATAAATTTGGGGGTAAATGGAGAAGAGACAATTTTTTTTTAAAGAATGACTCCAAATAGCACAGGTAGATACTCCTCCCTCAAAGACACAGATCTAACTGGCTGTCCTTCACCCCTGAGGGCAGGCTGGACTTAGTGACTTGCCTCTGTGGATAACGTGGGGAAAGAAAAACATAGTAGCTTCACATGGAGAAGCCTAGTGAATGCTACTTTAGGCAAGGGATGACACAGTGAATGTCATGTGAAGATCTTGCTGCGATGTAACGAGCAGGGCATATAACTCTGTAGTCATCACAAACACACTAGACACACACAGCCTGGGGCACTCTACAGGATACTTGGCCAGCTCTTTTCTAGAAAAACAAGGAAAGACAGAAATTGTCACAGACAGAGGAGACCGGGAGACATGGCAAGGGAATGTAGGGCCCTGGATTAAACTCTGAAACATAAAAAAGGTCCTTAATGGAAAGATTGGTGAAATTTAAGGAGCATTTTGAATTTTTTTTTTTTTTTTTTGGTTTTTCTCCAGTACCGGGAACCGAACTCACGACCTTGCGCTTGCCAGGCAGGTGCTTTTGCCGCTGAGCTAAATCCCTAGCCCCACATTTAGAATTTTTTGTTTTTGTTTTTGTTTTTGTTTTTGTTTTTCTCCGGTACCGGGAACCAAACTCACGACCTTGCGCTTGCCAGGCAGGCGCTTTTGCTGCTGAGCTAAATCCCCAGCCCCTACAATTTTTAATATTACTATACAAGTGTCAGTTTCTTAATTTTGACAAACTAATGGTAAATTAACCAACAAGAAATTAGGTGTGGATGTATGAGACTTTGTTTAAATCTCAACTTTGCAACTTTGTATAAACCTCAAATTGTTCCAACTTTGCAATTTTGTGTAAATCTCAAATTGTTCCAAAATAAAAACTATTCTAAAAAAGCTCTACAGTTTCTGTCTCCTGGTTGTGTCTTCAGTGATACAGAAAGCCAGAATAATTATCAAAACAATCATTTTATGTATCTAACATACAGCACCGAATTTAGGTACAGCAATCACCAGACAGTAGGGGAAATAGGGATAGAATCTTTATAAATTAGACTTTTAACCCTGCCGAATAGTAGATTCCTGTAATGACACACATTTTGTTTGCAAAATTTTCTGGCTAAGTGTATACAAACTCATGAATTTTCTAAAGCTAGGGTAACTGCTACAGACAAAACCCAGAAAGCAAAATCCAATGTGTGGTTCGGTACACAATAGGACTTTCTTTTGTGCATTAAAAAAGGTGTCAGAAATGGTTTTCTCTGGACATCTTTAAGAATTAAGACATCTATGCATGTTTATCCATGCTTTGTCCATTATGTAACTCAATTATAGAGCATATCCTAGTAGTTGCCTAATTATCATTTTCCACTATTAAAAGAATGCATGTACTCAGAATTCTAGAGTCTAGGCTCAGAAGTCTGTAAATTCCAAAATAAAGCAACAGTTTATTTTCTAGAAGGGCCAAATCAGTTCTCTGTAGAATGAAACCCATGTAGATTTTTGTTTTGTATACTCTTCAGTCTGTCCTTTTTGCTTGAGGTAGGCTAGAGTTTTTAGGAAACAACGTATGAATAAAAATGAAATTTCAGTGTTCTTGCCCCCAAATTAGTAACACACCTCATTTTTCAAATGAAGAATATATCCACCTCTCCTTTTCCCACTACTTTACAAAAATATTATTTTTCCTCAAAATGTCTATGCAAAACTGATTTTTAAACTAGAAAAGTTAGTGAAAGCAGTTGGCCAGAAAATGGACTCAAGCCAGACCCCACATCCCAAACATTCTGCCTCAATGCCCACCCTCCTCCTGCTCTCCAACAGAAGCAAAACCATACCCTGCAAGACCGTTATCCACCAGAACTTAGAAGCCTTTCAGGAGCAGAAAGACATGCACACCCTGACTAAGGTACAAAAAAGAGGCCCTTTCAGACCAAGCGTTCTGAGCACATGCAGCACAAGGGCTTCCTCTGGAAACGCGGCTCCAGGGAGAGCTAAGAGATCACAAATTCAAAACAAGTAGATCTAGCAAGGTCAAGAGGAATCTTCCCAGTTCCAAAGTAGCCAAGTAAAATTCTTAAAACCAGTTTATCTTGACAGCTTAACATACTTTCAGACCAGTCTCAGAAAATTATTTGGTGGAAATGAAGCCAAATTTGTGCTGTCATGGGAACCTGCTAATTTTTTAAAACTGTTATAAAGTGACAGTTTGCACATTACATGTTGATGCACTTCAATTTTCTCTCACATTTTTTAAGGCAAAAAGATGGGAGGAGTGAATACAATTATGCATGCAGCAATTAGTGAACAGGGGAACTTAAATTTTAACAGTGAAGTTTCGGACAGCAACTGTACTTCGTGACATTCCATCATTTAGTCTTTATGATAATGGACATAGGATTATAGGTATCGTCTGGTTATCGTCCAAAATATCATCATTTTAGAAGTCTAATTCAGGAATAATGAAGACAAGTTATATGCTATGTTATGGTTTCATTCACAAGTACCAAGATGCTTGTGAATTTTTCTTTAGTATAAATGTATCTCCCTAATGGTATCTGAGCACCTAAACACTCTTTCCTTCTCAGAATAAAGAGACAATACATACGCTAATATCAAAAATACCTGTTTTGTTTCTGAGTTAAAATCACTGAGCGGCAGATTTTCATCAACAGCAAAACAAATTAATGAAGCTAAAAACTAAAGTTAAACTCCAACCACAACTGACTTCTAAAGTAAGGAATCTAAATTCTGGACCCCACTCTGGAAAATGCATTCGTAGTCACAGGAGTGTGAGTAGCAAATGAATGAACTCTCCTTCCTTCTTGGTATTTCTCTTTATTCTCAATTAACGGCAGTTCTGTATGTAGTACATGTACAGGTTTAAAAGTAACAGCATGAAAGGGCTGCATGCGGAGTGCAGACCATGCCTTGCTTGGGATGAAGAGGCGCACTGTGGCCCGGGATAACGGGCAGACAAGGAGTCTATGCAGCAAAAACATGCGGAGACAGGCAGCAGCAGGTGGGCACTTACCACTGGAGCAGTTGGTCCCACCCCAGCCAGGCTCACACTGACAGGTGTTTGGAGCGATGCAGCGGCCATGGACACATTTATCAGCACAGTGAGCTGTCAGGGAGAAAATCAATCAAATAAAGAGAGTTGGCACGAGAAAAAAAAAGTCAACAACACAGCTGTTGCACATCCTAAGCTCAAGTATCACTTAAAAACAACATGCATGCTTGATAATTTTCTTCAATCCCCTTCTCAGCCCTCTTACAGTCCGTTGTATAACCAAACAATTCCCTCTCTTATTTTGTTATCGCCAAATAAATTCCTCCAGTTCTACTGTTTAATTCTGTGTCATGCTAAATTAGGGAGAAAAGTTTCAAGGAAAATTGCCTAACTTTTATTTTTAAAAACTTATCAGTGAGTACCAATATAACCTTTTGTTGTTGGAAAGGAGCCTATGCAAAGAAACAAACCACAAAGTGACACATCAGGACTCCAGAATGACAGAGTGGCCCAAGAGGAAAATCTCTTTATGTAGTATAGTCACCAGAAAAAGCAGTCACCTTTCTATGTGAACGCAATCTTCATAAGGACGACACAGAAGAATTGCATACCCTTTTCTTGTTGAAGGGAATATCTGAAAATTGTCATGCAGGTCTTTGGGAAATACTACGCCTCAGTCCTCTTTCATGAGTGACTCTCGGGAGCGAGCCAGCGCATGGAGGAAGGGGCGTCACCGTGAACACGAGTGCACAGACAGCCTAGGACTGGCTCCCAATGTGGAGTTCAGCTGGCTGACAAAAAAGGGCACCAAAAATACACGACGCTGAACAGTAGCATGACCTTCCACGTTAGTGCCTCTCGCACTGGTTACACACTCTTCAGAATACCTGGACACTTGAGCACTGTAACTGTAAGAGCAACCTGTGAGAGTTCAGATAGGGTTCAGACAATTAAACGTTTTATTTAAGGAGATGTAAGGTTCTGGTACTTTAGCCCTATTTTATAATTAATGTCTTATTACAAAAGCAAAACAGGTTTACTTCTCCACTGTATAAAATATCAATAAGTTAAATGAACCTTATCTTTAGTTCTACCAACTAGTAACATTCTGTGGATGTTGAACTTTTGAGGGTTTTTTCCTATATATTTTTCTTTTAAAAGTATTAACATAATTTTCAAATTGCTTTTTTTTTGGTCGTTTTTGTAACAGGGTCTCACTCTGCAGTGAAGACTGGCCTTGAATTCACTTTGTAGCCCAAGATGGCCTCATATTTAAAATGATTCTCCTGCCTCAGCCTCCCAAGTGCAGGGATTACAGGCGTATACCACCACACCCAGCTTCAGATTGCTTTTCTACTCCATATAATGGAAAAAAATATTTCCATGCCATTGAGTATTTTCTTAAAAATTTACCCATAATTGCATGTACGGTGTACACAGTGTACACACATAGTATATACCTATATCATCTATAACTATATCTACATCTATGTATGAAATGAAAATGATGTTCACTCCTAAGAGTCCAATCTTGGACATGAAGAGATACAAAGAAAAGGCATTTCAGATAACAAAAAGGAAATAAATGAAAATAAATTCTGTTTGGGTGTGAAGTTTGGAGTACAGAAAGGTACAAAGAGACCTTTAAAACCAAGTTAAAATGTTAGTGCCCTATTCTGAGAATTAGCAAGGAATCATCTAATGCAAAGAATAATGTGCTTCAAAAAACCATCAGGTTGAGGACCCCACAAAAGAACAAACTAACCATAAACTACAGGAAATACAGGCTTACTTGCTATCACCCAAGTCATTCTTTAGCACCCCAGTAATCTGGTGAAGGATACCAGCCCTGGAGAATTGGGAATTGTGGTCAGAATCACAAGAATTCTAAGGAAGAATATAGTAACCTGCATTCAGATAATTACACATTTGATTGTGATTAACGCAGAACCTGCTTATGCCACATGAGCACGTGGGCCCTCCATACGCTGACTCACACTGCAGAGTCCTTACGTGACACCTCAGGTTAAGTGTCTCCTTCCATCGCCGCTTGTGTGTCCGGATTCCTAGATGGCATCACCAGTAAGGTCATAGCTCTCTGTCATTTCTTTAAAATTTAGGTACGCACACATGTAAAGCCTGCAAACTACACACTCCAGTGTGCAAGGCCCAGTCCGGGGCTTACCAATGCAGGACTGGCCCCAGACAACGTATTACACTGTGTCACACAATTGTGTGCGCATGCGGGACTCTCCTCCCACAGTGATGGGCCCACTGTCAACCTGTCAGCAATGGAGGGCTGTCTGTTATGTACTAATGGCATCTAGGTTTGAAACACACTGTTAGTGATCACTTTAGCAATGTCTCCTCCTTTTAGACACTAGAGCTGTTTAAAATTCTGCTGCATATCTTTAGAAGCTTTAGGAATTAGACATTATTTATCTTGAATGTAAAACAAGACCTCTTTGATACTGTGTTTTTTTTGTTTTGTTTTGTTTTGTTTTTTGAGACAGGGTCTCACTGATGCGGTTCAGACTAGCCTTGAGCTCACTTTGGTTTTGTTTTTGTTTTTGTTTTTGTTTTTGTTGTTTTTTTTTGGTTTTTTTTGGTTTTTCTCCGGTACCGGTAACCGAACTCACGACCTTGCGCTTGCCACGTAGGCGCTTTTGCCGCTGAGCTAAATCCCCAGCCCCTTGAGCTCACTTTGTAGCCCAGGCTGGCTTCGAACTCACAACGATCCTCCTGCCTCAGCTTCCCAAGTACTAGGATTACCTGCGAGCCACACCACGCCCAGCAACATTGTACATTTAAACCAAAACAGAAATTGGAGGTGGTGGCTAGTGAAAGAGGCACCATTCATATCTTCAAATTCAAATTTTTGTGTTTATTTAATAATGACATTCTTGCCAATTAATTTTATTCTAAAGAAATATCATAAAGTTAATGTACTAAGGTAAATTTATATTAATAGATTTTCCCTGTATTTGTTTTTAAAACTTAGAAACCCATATAAGTCCATATGACAAAAAGTTAATTCTACTACTCGAGAATTTGAAGACCTCTGGGTTCCTGAGCAGTCGGACCTGGTGGAAGCCAGTGGGTTTGTATTTGTCTGGGAAGGTGCTGGCCGTGGAAGACGCAGAGCACTGGCTAGAGAAGCAGCCAGTTCTGTTCTCCCTTTCTTCTCTTGCCTTTCATTTTGTCTTTCTTTTCATTTTCTACTACTAATCTTCTCTTTTTCTGCCACAAACTACCTCTTTGATAAGCACAGTTACTAAAAAGATTTCAGATTAAAATTTGATTTTTGTTATAATCGTGTTACCTTTTAACCACAGATGACCTCACATGATTTCCACTATGCCCCCTGAATCAACCACAGAGAAAGGTAAGACTGAACAAATACCCACAGTATCTTTGCCCCACCACTGAGATAATGTTTATTGAAACAGGTAAATAAATGCGTAAGTTAAGCATGTGCTCCAGAGGGTTAGGAATCAGAACTGTGTATGCCTGGATCTCAATCCAGGGTTTTTTGCTGCTCTTATTTTGTTAATTCTGGAAAAGGATAATAATTTCTATGTGCAGAATTAAAGAAAACCTGCTTTAGAATGCTTTGAGATGGGTGAATAATCGTACAAATATTCTCACATTTGGTTGATGTCAACGCAACTTTACATTTGTATGAAAGGAATTTTGAGAAGTCCAATCAATTATAACGAACAATAAAGTCCTGTGATTGTAATTTTAAAATCTGAATTATATTTATAAAAACCTTGAGCTAATATTTGGCCAAAGTCTGAAACAAACGTAGATGGATCCTTAGCCGAAAACACATTTGCCTGAAAGGTAAATTAGGAACTGGAAGGAGGAATCTGCTTTCCTAATCATTTCTTTTTCCTTAAAGTTCAAGGCAATAGAATCGCCCCCAAGCATTGAACCCTAAAATTAAATGATGATGAAATAATGGGGACTATCACTGGGTTAGACTTATAAAGAACACAAAATTCTACCTCTGTGATATGACGTCTCACATGGCACTGAACTCTGTACTTCAAGCTCCATCTTGCTCCGTGCTCTTTTCCATCATCTCTGGATTCTGTGTCCGGCCACAGCCCCCACCCAGTAACTACATGATGGCCAGCAGCTAAGAAGCAACAGAGGGGATCAGAGGAAGCTACAGTTCCTCCGTGTTCCCTGAGGTCCCAACTCCACTGGCAGACACACTGACTGTCGCAAACACAAACGGGGTGTCTGACCCTGTCTGGAAAATCAGCTCCGCTAGATCCCCACCCAGCCTCACCGTTCCTCCTTCAGCTTTAGACGCCACCAGCTCGAGGTGCTGCGCCTCCACGACCAACAAACTCCAGGGGAAATCAAGGTGGGTTAGACACAGAACGCAGTCATGTACAAAATGCCAGATGAACTCAGAGAGAACACAAAGAACAGACCCCACCTTAGTAAGTGTGCAATAGCTGAGCTCTCAAAGGGTAAAAAGACCCCTGCTACATGTAGCTGTCCCATCCACAAAAACAGAAAATTGTTTTGCTCCTTACCCACAGCCTTTCTTCCTACATCTAAAAAGATAATTAAAACTAAGATCACCTTAGCAGAAATGGCCTATACAGTTTGTTTCCCCACCTTTCTTTAAGAAAACCATTAAATATTTTATTCTAAGTTTCCAGTGGCCATTTGTTAAGGCCACACAGAAGCTGAATCTTGACCCACACTCAGTACCTGCTGTAGACACATCAAGACATGGGGGCAGCCAACGCGTCTTCTCTCTTAAGATGGGGGAAGCAGGAAACACTGATGGGAAGAACAGGCCATGTCTTTGAAGTAAAAGCTGAGGACAGTCTGTCTGCCTGGCTGACAGGTGAGGACTGACACCATGACCCTGGAGTCTTCTCTAATTAGGCTCCTGTTTCAGTCTTAGTTCCTAAATCCATTTAAATCTCATTACCAATGACATGGGCCTCATTCCTTTCACTTGTAAATACTTGGCTTTAACACTGAGAGCCATTAACTACTGGATTGTTTTTTCTTCTGCCACATATATTTCCCTTTGGATTTACACTCAGGATGGAAAAAAAAGGTGAAATGAAGAATAGGCAGCC